GTGTTAGCTAGCTATATCGCCCGATAGTAAATAACCCAATTCGAATTGCTAGCTAGGTATATCGGGTAGTATATTGAGTTAGCTAGCTAGATCGCCCGATAGTCGATATTTTTTTTCTCCTTGGGCGTGGCCGTCCAAAATGTGGTTTTCGTTGTTCTGTATTTGTTTTTAACAGCGGCCAAGTTTATATTCAAACTTTAAACAATAAAGTACTACATCAACCACAAAACCCAGTTGCTCGTCCAATACGTGGTTTAAAACGTACAGCATTGAAAGAAAAGTTTAGAATTAGTGCTTCTGTATTCTGTACAACAAATTTACAGAGAACAATCAAAAATCAGAACAGGATCAGAAAAATTAGCATTCAACTATGATGCCACCGAAACATCAAAGCAAACTTTAAGAAAAATCAAACGCGAAGCTATTAACGAAATCACATTAGACAAGAACATAGACAAAGCATTAATATTATTACAAATTCAATTTAATAATGAAATCTGTGCTGATGGGGTAGTTCCAGGTGCAATTCAATTCCATTGCTTATTACCATTTCATACTATTTGTTTTACTGAAACAAGTATTCGTCTATATGATCGTCTTGTTCAATCTAATCAATCGGTATTATCATGGGACGCGACTGGAATTAAGCAAACTAATGGACGTCGAATACTGCACTATGAACTTACCATGACACAACCAGGCATTGTTGTTGAAGATTCCTTGATACTCATCAGCTTTATGTTATCCGATAGTCATTCATTACCAACGTTAGTCAATTGGATGAATTTATCGTCAACCGACATTTGAGCGCCGATATTTGAGCGACCGACGTTCGGCGACCGACACTTGAGCGACCGACGTTTGAGCGACTCCGACATTAGACACTCTTCAATATGACTTTTTGCCGACCAGGAAAGTCGGATGATTATTCACTTCGATAATGATGATCAGAACAACTTTTTTGTCCCACCGATTATGAACTGAATTATTTAGAGATCTGTCGTAGAGTAAGGGTGGGTGAGAGTGAACAGCTATAAGTGATGCGCTTCGCTCAATTGTTGGAGTGCTTCAGATGCGATCGCTCAAATGTGAGTCGCTCAAATGAGGGTGAGGGGAGCACTTGGTGCTGACCTGCCGTTATTACTCAAAGGTCGGTCGCTCAAATGTCGGGGTCGCTCAAGTGTCGGCGCTCCAATGTCGTTTAATCAAATGTCGGTTAATCGAATTTATTTAAATATGGGTATAAAAAAGTAAGTTATAATCTATTTTCTATTTGTGGAAGATCGCAGACAAAGTAAAAAAAATTAGTCAGTTCATACATTTAAAACGAATATCAGCGACTTTTATTTACTGAAAAATCTTTTTTTTTCTGGAGCATGTTCTTTCATCATCCATTAAGAAATTGACCAAAAGCGTAAAGGCAAAATAAAAAGAAATCAGCAGATCGAATATGAACTGTCAGATACCGAATGATTCAGAAAAAGTGGTGAAGTCTTATTTTTCAGCTAAAGATCTATTTAAGATGAAATTGGTGGAGACGAAAATATCGTAAATGACGAATTGACCATTTTTTAAGACAAATTTAATCAAGGGTTTTGATCCTGCCCATTGGAGCTTTTGAATAATTTTCAATTAGTTTAAACTAATTTCAGATTTAAAGAAATTCGAATGAATGTAAGCCGAAAACCGTTCGACTCAATTAAAAAGCATTTTTGTGTTCGAAATCAAGTCAAACCAGTTTAAAATTCTGAATGAAGATTCAATAAAAATTACGAAATTAAATTCACATTAATTAAAACAAGCGAAAAAAATCAACATTAATTTTAGTTGATTTTTCACGAAAAAATTAATTTTCCTTACTACAAAATTAGAAAAGGTCTTATATTAAATCCGTACAAACTTATTTTTAATTCAGAATTTGTTTAAATTAGTTTATTAAGTTCAAACTAATTTGAATTAATGCTGTTTCACATTAATTTAAAGCAATTCAGTCGCAAGTCTACCTGAACTAATAGGAAAAAGAAATTAATTCAAAGCAATCTCAAATTAAAAATTCAGACCAACTAATCCAGTTCAAATCAAATAAATGTGTATTTCTATTGTGTAACTCTAGAAATTAATTTCGTTCTAATCAATTTATATTAATTTGAACGCAGAAATTAGTTTCAACAAATCTATCATTAATTGGTTTAAATGAGTTAGATCTCGTAAATTGATTTGAATTAATTTAACAATAGAAATTAGTTTAAATTTATTTTGTTGTTAGTAATGTAAACTATTTTGAACGAAACACATTAATTTCAATTAATTTCTATTTCTAGAACAATACAAATCAGTTTTATAAAATAAATTTTAAATAAATTCTGAAATTGGAATTCATTTTAATTAATTTGTTCGCTCAAAGTAGTTTACATTACTGACAACAAAATAAATTTAAACTAATTTCTATTGTCAGATTAATTCAAATCCATTTACAATTCGCTTAAATCAATTAATGACAGACTTGTTGAAACTACTTTCCAATCTGAAATTAATTTAAACTGATGTTTGCTGTCAAATTGATAGCAAAAATCAGTCTGCCTAGTACGGAAACTAATACAAACAGTTCCATACAATCGTTTAAAGGTTCGCCGTTACAATGCGACCATAAGGGCCTTGTAAATGGTAAGCTACGGTTCGATTTCACAGAAAAAAATAACTAAACCGGAATCAAAATCAAAGGTAAACGCTTACCATTGATTCTTATTCTGATTCAGTTATTTCAGTGCTATTTTTTCGCATCAAGAGGCGATAGCTCCTACCTCGATCGAGCATACACATTTAGCTAATAACGAATAAATTTTATAAAAATCTTAATTGGATTGGAGTATAAGTGTGGCCTTTAGTGACTGAAATACTTTAAATCAATTTATTTAGAAAGAGTTTAGAATAATTTTGTACTTTAAATTAATTCAAATTAATTTACTTGCCTAATGTGATGTAAAATAATTTTCTTTGAACATGTTTACATTAATTTTGTACTTGAAAATTTATTCACACTAATCTAAGATGTCGACATTCGTCTAAACTAATTTATTTCGAATAAATATATTTTTGACTTCTGAAATAAATTCAAACTGTTTTCGACTGTCGAAATCAGTTCAAATTTATTGCAAAAAAAATTATTCAGATGAATTTAAGAAGTCAAAACTGAGTCACGCCACAATAAAAAATCAGAATTAATTTCCAATAGTTTCAATTAAACTAGTTTGAAATAATTTAATGAAAGAAATCAGTCTAAAGTAAAATTAGGTATAAAATTAGTTTAAATTCATTCGAAATAGATTAATTTGAACGAATTTCATTTTAAACTAGTTGCAATTCATTTTCTACAAACTAATTGGAAACAATTTAACAACTGAAATCAATTTAAATTAATTTTGATTGTCGAATTAATGTTAACTCATTTATCTGATATGAATTTGAATTAATTCGACCTCTCAAATTATTGTAAATTAAGTTTCGAATATTTTTTCGGTTAGAAATTACTCTAAATTAATTAGAAATTATTTAAAAGTTCCAATGGATAAGACTCACTAAGCGGCACACTCAGATGTATAAAAGCTTCCGATGAGTCATGCGTTCAATATCACTTTTGTTAAACTGTAGAAGAGTTACTCAGGGGAGAAACGTGTTATTGAAGCCAGATCAGCGGACTTTAAACAAAACTTTTCAAATTGCTTTAGCGAAAAATGACTTTTTTGAACTTTTCCTTTATGGAAGACTCTTATTTTCACAACCTATGAAGACTGCAGTTATCCATTTCTTAGACATCGGTCAAACTTTATCCGAAAGAGTAATGAGTTGATTGTTTTCTTTATTTCGTGTTTAGGTTTTTCCAAAAAAAGATTTTCTAAGACCAGCCATCATATTATCCGATAGAGCACATGTTATCCTCCAATGTGCTCTACAAGTATTCAATGATGGTGAATCATATCAACAGTTTTTGGAGCTAGCATTTCGAATTGTTAATCATCGATCAACAACATCAGATTTCAAATTAACTGCTATTCATGCCTGTTTGGCACATATTATGTTAGATATTCGGAAATTATGCAACAAATTTATTATAAACAAGCATGATCGTACTTTATCAATGTGGTGTGGTGCATTACTTGTGAATACAAACAATTGGACAGAAATGGTGGAAAATTGGAGGATAATATGCACAGTATTTATGAACATGTATACTAATAAGGAAAATAAACAAATCATGGACATATTGTTCAAAAAAATTAGTTGTATCAGTAACAATCTAAATTTCAGAACAACTATAGAAGACACAACAGAAGGTGATGATAATACACCAAATGGTCAATATCGTTTTAATAATACTAATGATGACGGTAACAACAATGGTATTAGTTCAACATTAAATAACAATTTAAATAGAACTATCAAGAGAAAACGTAATTTAAATGCAACATTAATGAGTATCAGTTCTTATATGACTGAAGAAATACTTTTCCCCCATATACACTTTTAGATCAGTGTTGATGAAGAAAAAGAACTGAACAAAACCACTTCAAAATTTAAAAGTATATGTGATGAAATTTACGAACAGTGTTATTACAACAAAGGTAATTTATTAGACACACGAACAACAACAAGGAAAGCCAATAATGGTAATATCAAATAGTTAAGTTATTTAAAAACGAATTTTATGCCAAGTGCACCCGTCTGGTCGAGTTTGCTGTTAGGTTAATATTTGTTGATTAAAAGCACTGGAGTCTGTTTTAACTGTCGTTTCTCCCTTATAGGTGATTTGGGTCGTTATAAAAAACAACTGAGCAATTTTGATAGTTTATCATTGCAAAAATTTAATCCACAGCGAACAAATAATAATTCTGAAAGTAGAATGGGTATTCTGAAACAAACCCAGTTAGGTATGTATTAGTTTTATTACCCGTTCAGGAAACAACTTTTTTTATTATTTCTAAAACTAAACTTGAGTTAAAATTCTAGAAAAATCTGCTTGAGCTACAAAGAGATCCACAGTTGCCTTTTTTGGGTGAAAGTTAGAGCTTATACAGATTCATTAAGAGTTTTACGATTCGAAGATAAAAACGAAGCATTTTTTGCCTTCGAAAATAATCCTTATACACAATCAACACGAACTAAAAATTTAGATATTGGAAGATTATTCGAGACATCATCAAAAATTATTGTTTTTCTGCGTCGAGTAAGTCCTTCACTTTGAGTTATTGAAAGATTTTATCTTTTTATAAGTTTATCTAAGGCTTCCCTCTGTCTTTTCGTGTCGTTCAGTTTTTAGCACAGACGAAGGTATGTGCAGAAACTCAGGAGGTTAATCATGCCATGAAAGATGAAGCTGTATTACGAATAGAGATGAGAAATTTTCCAAGAAATACAGAAACAAAATCCTGTGCGACATACTCTGTGTCGAATGATTTCATTGAGCTTTTGTTCATTTTTCTAGAAGAAAATAAAGTAGATAATACAAATTATTTTTCAGCAAGTGAGAAAAAAGCTTTTTTGGTTGACTAATGGTAAAAACGTTTCTACGCTATTCGAACGCTTTCTGTTCTCGCATACATGTGCGTCAAAACAGAGCGAAATGTCGCTCGAACTTATCTGTTTAATTTTTCTTTCTGCGATAACCAAAAGGACAGATTAAATCGAAGAATTATAAGAGAACAATATTTTTCTAGCTCATGTATGTGCAGAAAGGTATGCTTTATACGTATTATTTATGCTTGTATCTTGAATAAATATAAGAATTATGCTCAGCCTCATCCTCAGAGAATCACTCATGCAAACACGTTTTAGAAACACAGGTCTTTCTTTTTTTTTATTTTTAGATGAATTTTAATTCGACAAATGAAAATATTCCAACTGTTGGTGAAGGTCTGACTGAAAATCATCCGATTAATTTGCCTACACAACCATCCATAATCCAAACAAGAAATGATACAGAAATAAGCAAATATCTGATTTTTATTTATAACTCGATCTCTTTTTGTTAGAAATAATTTGTATAGAGAAATGTTTGACATTGCACGGCTCATGCACTGCAATTTCTAATATAAAGACATAAAACAAAAATAATTTTCTCTGAGATAACTGTCGTAAGAACGACATGGTTTATACGTATAAAATTTAGAATTTTAAGAATAGTAGAATTGTAGCATTTTAGACTTTTGGACCTAAAGAATAGTCGAATTTTAGAATGCTTGGTGTAAAAAATAGTAGAATTCTGATGTACTAGAACTTTAGATTTTAAGAATTGGAGAAAATTGGAATTTTAAACTTTGTGTACATATGCGTACGATGACAGAGTAAACGAATGAATGATTCGTTGTCTTTGGTATGTTTCTTTCCAAATTCTTTTTTTAAAGAGTAGACCATTTATTTCAAAGATAATGACATACTGTCTTTGCTCTTTTCTTCACTTGCGGTTACGTACGAGAATGGTAGAGACGGGTATCATCTGTGAGTAAACGAAAAAAGTTTTGCTTTATTGCAAGTTTTTAAGTTTGTCATAATATCCCATTTATTTATACTATCTTGGTACTTCGAAGTTACATTCCTCTGAAGTAAGTAAAATTTTTTATCTATATTTGAAAACTTCTTTAAAGTTATAAAAATAGAATATATAAATGTGGTTTTTAGCCGTAAAACGAAACGATGAATCGTGGCAGTTCGTTTGAAAACAGAATTCTTCCATTGGCATCGATCGAACAAGCCTCAACACTAAAATGACTAAATAACGTAATCAGCAAACATGCGCCGAAAAGAAATGAGCATATAACTGCCTTGATGAATCGGTGCAATAGGTCATCATATGAATACATCTCAGGTTATGAGTAACGCTGGTATTCCAACCAATGTTAGTTTTTTCACAGCTATTATTGGATATCCTGGCTCGAACAAAACCACTGCTGTTGATTTAATTAGAAATAGTTGCTTGGAAACAGAAGAAGCGCTGGACGTAACACCAGACAAATCTGGCATTAACAGCAGTGCTACAATCAAAAGTCTACTTCACGAGCTGAAAAATAGCCATCCACGCTTGATACAACTGTGGGAAGAATTGACAACTCTAATGCAGTCGTTTGGTCTCTACAAAGGTGGCGCCGGGTCTTATGATAGATTGATCATATACACCCTTTACAATACAAACCATATTGTAAGAAGACAAACCGTCAAGTCACCATCAGTCGCCATAGTAGATCCCGTGTTAAATATCGGTTCAGGCGGACATCCCGGCGATATATTTGATTCTGTTGTTGCGGATAACGAAGGTGATGGTAGGCCGCTTCTTATTCTGTGCTCCGAAGCCGAATTTACCTCTTTCAGCACAAACTACATTATTAGATGTTAATGAACCAAGTTTAGTTCATTTATTGTATGCCCTACATTTGCTGAATACAGACGAGGATGAATCAAAACAAATAATTTATCAATATTCTGAAGAAGCGTTGGAGATGATAAATGAAAAAAGGGATGGATACACATTAATCGTCCGAGAAGCCATTGAATACGATTCATTTTTAATTTGATCTATGCTAAAGCAAAATTTCAAATAAACCGTCTCGCTGGTGCTTTACATAATGTTCGTATTGCCGGTATGGTACTTGAAATAGTTCGTGATCAACAGCAAGGATTATCCTATCACGATTTCAAAAAAGACACTATGGAACGTATAAAATCCGCAGTGGGAGAATTCAAAAGAAATAAAAGATTCGAAACAATATCATCAGTAACAGCTCAATCGTCTCTAGCTCTAATGGATTATTACATCTGCCAGAAGAAAATCTATCCTAACAGAAAGATAGAAGAAACACTGGAAGAACTTCGAGCTCAATTCGAAGAACAAAACGATGAAGGGCAACAAGAAAATCAGTTCAGTAATCAAATTCCCGAAGTTGAACGTAATCCTCACAAAACTATCCTCTTATCACCTGAGCAAAAAGTATTATGGGAATATTTAATGAAACATCATGGTGGTTTTAAAAGTAAACAGCTTCAAGGGGCAGCAAGAGAACTTGCAAAGGAAGGATTAGGTAAGTACGAGTACTACTACTATTCATTCAAACTGTATTTTAAATATTCAAATAGAATGGACTCTGCTATCTTTTGAGTAACGTTCGAATGAAAAACCTATAAAAACTTTGTTATATCACAAGATTCAATAAAGCAACTTCTTTTGTGGCAAAAGATGGAGATCGTGTCTATTCTTAGTGAATTAGTTTTATAATAATTAGTGATTACAACGATTCAAATCAAGATCAGGATAAA